TCTCCCCCCCCAGGCCTCTCTCCCTGGCTGCATTTCGTTTTTCTTTTTTGTCGGTTCTTTTCAAAAGAAGTCAAACTTCAAAGCCTGCTCGCCCACAGCAGAGCCGCTCTAAGCAGCTGTAAGCAGCAGGCTCTGAGTGCATCCGAGACACCCAAATAAATCAGGCAGGGCAGGGCAGGGCCCGGGGTGCCGGCGGAAATTCAAGGAGCACAGGAAAGGGAAGGAGCTCCGAGCCTGGCTGGGAGTGGGGAAGCCGGGAAGCACTTTGGCGTGAAGGTGGCAGGTCACAGCGCCCGCAGTGCAGCAGCCTCCTCTGAGATGGAAGACTGGGCCGTGGACAGCCAGAGGCCGCCGCGCTGCCGTCTGACCCTTGGGTACCAGCGAGTGGCTGGAATGTCTCCGAATCCAAACAGGTCCCGGACTGGAGGGGAGATGTGGTAAACACATGACGCTCTCCCATGTCCCCTGCTGGCTGAGGGCAAACTGACTTGGGGTTGTGGTTCTGTGAGGGGCTCGAAGGAGGAAGCCCTGGGGCCGGGGTGTGTCAGGTGCCTGACTCCAGGTAAGGGCCAGGTTTGCCCAGCAGCAAGGGAAAGACGCTCGGCCCCGTGTGACACTGGCTACTTCCTGGAGCTGGTGTCAGAAGTGGCCCTGGGCCCTGGCCCTGGGCTGTCCCCACTGACCTTGGCTGCCAGACCCTAGTCTTCAGCCTGGGCTCCAGTGTTCTTGGGGGTGGCCTTCTTGGACCCCAGGGCTCCCAGCAGTGTTCATTCACAGAGCCAGACCACGGGGAGAGGGCACGGTGGTACCGGACGGTCCCCACCCTCCGAGACCTCTGGTCTTGGCAAGATGGACAGTAAAGAGGATCCTCCCCCACGAGGCATCTTAAAGCCCACCCCGTATCCCCCAGACCAGGGAAGGGAGGCCTTACCACGCCAAAGGCCCCCATCGGTCAGGCTTCAGAGCCAAGGCCCAAACACACACCAGCCGCCTAAGACAAGCTTTACAGCAAGGCGTGCGGCGGCCCTAAGCTCCTCTCCGCACCCCGAAGATGAGGAGACAAAGGCTCAGGGAGCCGCAGAACTGGGATCCGGCTGGACACAGGCATTGCCTGCCTGGAGACCCAGGGCAGGGCAAGGCAGGGCAGGGCAGGCAGCACGACGCCTCCCTCCCAGCACCTACTCCTGACACCAGTGCGTCCCGGTACCCGGTTCAGGGCCTGGCAGTGGGAGAGAGGACACAGCCAGAGGAGGGGGCAGCCTTTTACATGGGCGAGGGCGGGGAAGGGAGACCTGGGCTGTGGTCTCACAGAGGCCGGGCTGAGCTCCCTACCACTTCTCTTTTTTAAAAAAATTAATTTAATTTAGCTTAAAACGTAATGAAATTGAAGAGAAGTTAATTTCTTTCTTTCTTTTTTTTTCTTGGATGGAGTCTGGCTCCATTGCCCAGGCTGAGGTGCAGCGGTGCGACCTTGGCTCATGACAGCCTCAGCCTCTCAGGTCAAGTGATCCTCCTGCCTCTGCCTCCCAAAGTGCTGGGATTACAGGCGTGAGCTACTGCACAGGACCAATTTATTTACCTTTAGAGACAGGGTCTCTGTCCATTGCCCAGGCTGGAGTGCAGTGGTGCGATCACAGCTCACCCCACCCTTGAACCCTGGGACTCAGGTGATCCTCCGGCCTCAGCCTCCTGAGTGGCTGGGACTCCAGCTGTGTGCCACCATGTCTGGCTAATCTATTTTTAAAAAATTTTCAGTAGAGATGGATTCTTGCTATGTTGCCCAGGCTGGCCTTAAGGCCTGAGCTTAAGCAATCCTCCTGCCTCAGCCTTCCAGAGTTCTGGGACTACAGGTATGAGGCACTGTGCCTGGCCCCAAACCCTCTCAACCTCGATTCCCCCCCAGTGAAGGCCACATGGACGCCAGGCTGGATGAGCACACCTGGGAACACAGGCATGGTCGCAGGGCAAACAGGCCCAGGGGAGATGGACTCCTAGGAGCCTTCCCTCTGCGAGGCGGGTATGAGAGGAGGCTGGGCCTGCAGAGTCCCAGGCCTGAGGCCAGCTCCAAGGAAGAGAAGTGACAGCTGGCCTCAGCCTGCAGTCCTCCTTCCCACCTGCCCTGCTGGGACCTCCCACGCTCAGGTCCTGGTTCCCCATAGCCCAAGGCCCCAGGTTTTCCCACTAAGCCTGTAGCCGGGGGCTGTACAGAGCTGCCTGGTGCAGGACGTGAATCCAGAGACATCTAGAACGGCAGCCCCGCAGGACAATGGCTGGAGAGCTGACCTCTAGCCAGGGTGACTGCCAGAATCAGCTGATGTACCCCACATGAGTCCACACCACCCTCGGAGGAGGGCTTGACTCCACACAGAGTCCACACCACCCTCGGAGGAGAGCTTCACCCCACACAGAGTCCACACCACCCTCGGAGGAGGGCTTCACCCCACACAGAGTCCACACCACCCTC